CTCGCACAGCTTTTAGGCGAAAAACTTATTCCAGTCTATATTTATTATTGATCAATTATTTCTTAGTAATCCTAGATTTCTGCGCCCCAACAGTTCCCAGTCCTCAGCCTTTAAAAAGTCAATAGAAGTTAAACACTCGTCATGATCTACAAGCAGGGCGCAGAGAATATGACAAGCGACTCTTCCATTGACTGCTTTAAATGTTGACTATACCGCATATGCTTTTGAAATGTCAAGCCCTCTAGGACTTTTGCCTGGGTCGCTTTGTTGTACAAGTTGAGCGCTTGAGCAACAAAATTAATCAGTATAGCAATGGAGGTGCTGGATGAGCGACCTACGCAGGGCGAAACCTCTCAGCTATACCGGGGAACTTCATGGTAAAAAGTAAGTGAGACAATCCATAAATAAAAAATACATCCACATTTGAAAAGGCCTTTAACCATTCGTCAATACTTCTAGAAATTGTGAAGCATTAGTGTCACGGAGGGAAAGCCCAACTTCTAAGGTCTAGAACAAATTATTCAGTACTAATGAAACGCTTTTTAGAAAAATTGGTAAGGTAGTGTTTCCTTACTTGCTATCTGCTGTAGCAAATTTGGGCACGAGACAGCAGCTGTTTTACCCACACAATTGACAGAGCCCATGTTACATTGCGTTACCACCTCAGATTTTTTCAACAAATGCAAAAACTGCAGCATGCATGCTTCACACCAAGTCAAACCTAGCACTGACTTTAAGAGCAGTAGGCACTCTTCCATATACTGTAAGCAGGTAATTTCATTTTTGTTACTTATTCACCTAAGTCATCTCTTCCATAGTTTATAATTTGACGTAACACATGAAGACGCGGTTAGAGATCATATTGCATGCATGACCGCAAATTTCTCATTTGTCATTAGGTAATTTTTCTTAAAACGTCGACGCCAAATCTCTAAAGAAAATTTATGATGATTCCATAATAAGGTTATATGGCGCATTAGAGACACCCTCATTCACGTAATTGTTTAGAAAAAACTAAAAATTGAGAAAGAAGCCCGCAGCATAATGTGCTGCAGAATATCCGAAATGAGAGTCTCTGCCTACAGCACATGGTGGCGCATGTTGTCGTGATGTCAAAGACA